TATGATCTCTGACAATCACTATTTGCGTTGTTCCGAGCTAACTGCTTGCATAAAACCTGCCTCAAGATATCATCCTCAACCTGTTTCTCCAGGGCTGCTGCAAGTTTCTCAACAAATGGCAGAAAGGGTTCATCTGCCCCTTGAGTTATTGTCACATATCATGGCTTGGGAGAGGCCATTTCTATAGTTCTTAGCAATGCATTAAACCCTACCCTTATGACTCTGCTCAAGAACAGCAGGGTCACAGGTAGCCTGAAGATCAGGATTGGAAAAGGCCTGTTCTCCGAGGAGAACGTCTATTCCCACGTAAAACCTAGGATCTCCCTGAGGCAATTACCTGTTGTCTGCTGCAATCCTTTCAGCGACCTGCCTCCACTTGTCCAAAAAAACCCTAAATTGCACAGGCTTGAACAATATTTGAGCTATATGTTTAATATCAAATGGAGCAAGCAGGTCTGTGTTTAGCACTCAGAGAACTTGCATAACTTGTGCAGAGCCAAGGCCATATTTTGCCACCTTATCTTGCAAATCTTGGACCACCTGTCATCTCGGGTTCTTTAGCTGGTCAGAGTGACCCCAAGAAATGTTAGAAAGTCTCTTTTCCCAGCCCAGCGCTCAAAGAAGGAGTCAGAGCTCTTCAGTTCTCAGTCTCAAGGTTGTTTATTGTATCTTATCTATAAAATTTTTTTTCCTGTCCAGCCGAGGTCTGCTCAGCAAGACAGTCCAAGGCACTCTGCCTCCCCCAGGGCGGTGTTATCTTTTTATACTAAAAACTACATGTACAATATTTACATTACTTTCTGTGAAAAATGCATGTATTTTATGATTGGCTTTTCACAAATATTAAAATGAATATTATATGTGTTGTGTTAGAAAGTAATATGAAAGTATTAATTCTCTTAAGTACTGTGTTAAATATAGTTTTAGGTTATAAAAATTGTTAAAATAGAAACAATGCTATGTAGGATGCTTTTTTTAAAAAGAAAGGACTCGCAGCGAGATAGCAGCCACAGGACACCTAAATCTTTCAGAGAAGAAGAATTTATGGCCCTCTTATCAGAAGAAATGAACTTCTTCCTGCCTCGAAGGTGCTGTTAGGATTCGGAGGAAGAAGTTGACAGATGACCAGACAGAATCCTGTATTTGAATGGAATTTATGCATCATGTATGAAGTGTATGAATATGCAACAGGCTATTGTTTTTAAGGGTTGATCCTTTGTTAACGGGTGTCCTTTTTCGGGCTCGTGCTGCCCAGAAAAAGGTACCCGTACATCCATAACTCTTTGTATTTGTTGTCTCATATTGTCCTAATTCAATTTGTCCAAATTATTATTACTCTAATTGTATTACTATTTTTATAACCATTTTATTACTATTAAACTTTTAAAAATTTTAAAAACAAGTGATTGGCATTTTTAACACTTTCCAATATCTATCACCTATGTTAGACAGTGAGCTTCTATTCTAAACCAATTAAAAGTGCCAACATCACCCAAAAGATGGAGGCTAAGAAAAAGGAGAAAGGCTGGACACACCCAGATTCCTCCATCTTGCCCCCTGAAACCCCATTCTAAAAACTTCAAAAATCTATTTTTTCACTCTGTGATAAATTCACTATCATTCTACTTAAACTTTCGTGGTTTGTAATTCTTCATATAAAGGTTGGCAATTGTTTTTTCCAAGGACTAAATCAAAGGCACAGGAGTCTTGGGCTCTGTGCCAAGGTCTCTGAGCCCCCTGGGCAGGGGCTCGAGCCCTCCAGGGCAGCCAGAGGAATTTCCTGGGTTCCGACACTGTCAGGCAATCACATCATGCCTGTCAGCTTGTCCCATATTTGAGACAGCTTTATACATGGGAAAAGCTTGAATCACTCTTTGTGGTGGAACATTGTCTTTCTCAACCACCTGTGTCTCCTCCACAGATGCTGGATTAACTGTTTGACTGACATCTGTGGCCCCTTCCCCCAGATCTGGTGTGGTGTCAGCTTCCCAGCGTGGCATTCCCACTCTTTCTAGCAGGTTCCAATCCTCAGTCTCTAAAGCTCGAATCTTAACTGCTTCCCAAAATTGGCACAGGTTCTTGGGGCGCACGGTCACCCGACAGGGGGGCAAAGTCCAGAGATTACTCAGGGACGATGACGCCGCCTGTCGGTGACGACATTCTGCCGCCAGGGCACGCCTCTGCCTGGGGGCTGGCCGTTGGCATTCATCGCTGTCGCTGTCCCAATCCAGGGATGGGGAGGACAGCCTGTGGGCAGCAGGGGGTGGTGGGTTGGCCAGAGGCGCTGAAGTCGACGGACCAACTGTGGACTGTGAAGCTGAGGGGCTGGTTACAAGCCCTGCTATGGGCGGGCCGGCCGCCGGCGGTGCCACGGCCGGGGGCCCAGCCGTGGATGGCGCAGCTGGAGGTGCGGCGGCAGGCGGCGTGGCGGTGGGCGGCGGCACTACTGGCGCCGCTGTGGGGGCTACAGGCGTGGCTGCCACCGGCACGGGCTGCAATGGCAAAGCTGCAAAAGACATTAAGTAAACCGAGTCAGCCGTCGCGCAGGGAGTAGGAGGAGGAAGTGGTTCTGCAACTAAAGGTGAGGGGGGGGTGAAAGAGAATACAGTTCCTGTTGTGTGATTTACCAATTGGAGAGACGCTGCTAGTGCGGCAGTCACTGTTGCTGTAGTCTGCGCAGGCGCCATGGAAAAGGGGGGGAAGGCGGGGGGTGTGACGTTGGCTGGAACAAATGCTCACCAGCAGGCGCTGACGATGGGTGCGGCCAGTACATCTGCACAGGCTCCACGGCTGACAACAAGGGAGCTGACGGAGTGACCGGTCCAGCTGTGGTGACCGCCGCTGATGGAGGTGGTTCCGCCCTCACCCGCGGTGCAGGGGGGAAAATCTGAGTCGGGAGTAGCATCTTCTGCCGGCCGTGAAAGAGTCGGTCCCCGGCTTGCAGGGGGGTGAGGCAGAGTGGAAATTTTCCAGAGTAGAGATCAATTTTCATTTAGGTGAAATGTACATCTTTAAATCTGTAGCTTGCTGTTTAGTCTGACTGCCTGTCCTCGCGAAGGGCCTGTGTTTGGAGGGACTGCTTCAGCCGAAGGACAAGAGATAAGGGTGGAGGGGGGGGCAGACAGAGCAGGGCGACCTGACCCCGGAGTTCTTTCTGATAAAGAAGAATTACCGGCAAGTGTCACGCGCGAAATCAGTGGAATGAATATGTATGAACCTATTGTGAAATTGCATGTATATGTATTTGAGAGGGAGATAAAAGGGGATCTGGAGTTCCCAGAGGTACGCATGTCATTTTAGGGGAATGATTCCCACATGCGTCCAGCGCTGTAATATACATACCGGCTTTAGAACTTTCACAAAAGTTGTGGAGTTTGTTTGCTTACGCAAATCAGGGGGAAAGCTGGACCGGCAGGCGGGGCCAAGCGGCTTGTGGGACAGCGCAAGGCCGTCCCACTGGGTGAGGCAAGGCTGGCTAAAACACAGACATGTCCGCTGCATCCCACGGAGCGCAGGCAGGTATCACCGGTGGCTGGAGCGGGGCCGGCTGTTGCAGCAGCTCGCCAGCCACTCTTAGCGGGGCAGGGGAAAGCCAATCCACTGGGCGCAGCAGCAACAGTTCTGGCACCGCCAGCGGCTGTGGAGGGGCTGAAAGCAGCATAAACGGGGAGGGGCCATTCCCCGGGCATGGTCGGGACGTGGCTATCGTGCTTGGCGGTGCCAGTTTTGTGGGAGGAGGATATGTTGGTCTCACAGAATCATAGGGATGAGGCTATTTTGGCGGAACATAATCTCTAGGCGAGAGATAGGTTCCGCGGGGGGTCCCCACGTCCCCCACCAGTCTGCAGGGAGCCGGAGAAAAGCCGGCAGCTGCCCGGCCTGCCAATCCTTCCCCCAGGGTGTCGGCACCCCCAGAGGCAGCATCGGCACCCTCTGAGGCCCTCATTTCTGATTCACTTTCCCTCTGGCTGTGGCCTCTGAAGACATGGGACAGGAGTCTCCATACAGGTATGAGTCGAGGCACAGTGGAATCCCCATTAGTAACTTCTTCCAAGAGCTGGTAGCCCAATGCCTCTCACAATTGCAGACTAAAAGTGGTCTCTATATCTACCGGAAAGTAGTGAGATTTGGCCCAGGCAAGCAGAATGCAGAGCAACTCATCTGACACAGAGACTCCAATAAAGCAAATAATGTCCTTCCACACAGAAACGATCGCGTGTTCTTCCCTAGAGAGGTGACTCCCCATCGTGAAAACACTGGCCCCTAACCTCCAGCAAGAGGTACTGACTGTCCACTTTTCTGGGGAATTCGTTCCTGCCTGAGCTTTTAAGCTATCAGGGCAAAACCGCAATCCCAGTCCTTTTCAGGAGGATGCAGGGAAAGGCCGTTACCTCTCCAGGGGAACAGAGGGTGTCCAGACGTGGACAGGCAGCACAGGCACCGTGGGGTCCTGGCGGAGTTCCAGCAGGGGTCCGAGGCGTCTCTTCATCCGTCCTGCAATCCACGAAGGGCTGACCTATGCAAATCACATCAGTGTCACCAGATGTAGCTGTTGAGTAAGAAATGGACACAGACTCATCAGAAGGCTGATTGGCATAGCCTGCATGCTCTATATTTGGAACTGCTCCTTTTATAAGCTGTTCCAATCTAGGTAGATTTCATTGGTCATTCAGTTAATACATTTCACCTTATTGGCTAATTAACAAGATGCCCTTCTTTGAGAAAAACATGAAAACAGAGAGTAGGGAAACAACACCTGCAGGTTGTTTATAATCATAAGCTATTATTACTTATCTTCAACTCCCTAAAGTCTCTCAGGCCGATTCTGGGAAAACTTACCTAATTTTCTCACTCTCTGACCAGGCTGTCACATCCACACATATCCATTTTGAGGTTTGTTTTTGTTTTGCGTCCAGGGTGGTTGCTGCCCCCCCCCTTCCTCCTGGCTTCCTGAGTATTGTGATGCATGAGAGCTTGGGATTCCTGCGAGAGTTGGGGGCGAAGGGGGGTTGCTTCCTTCCAGTGGGGCAATTCATCTCAGAGGCCACACAGCATGATCCCTCTGACGAGAGATACTGTTGCCATGTGGTTTTTGCCCAGGTTTTTTCTTTTCCTTTGGCACTGTAACTGGAGGTTTCTGGTCTGCTTCTCTGCTGCTTGGGAGCCCAGAGCCAGTGCGTGCCATGCCGGGACCCGGGAGTACCCTATCCCCTAACGGGGTTGCCCGCTCTGCACAGCCCGACCCCGAGACCTGCCATTGCCGGTGAGCTATCCAGGAGAGTGATTCCCTGTCCAGCCCTGCTGTTCTCTGCCACTGCTTCAGGGCTTCTTGCTACATTTTAACCTGACATCTGGACACCCTGCAGCTTCTGGCATGGCCCTGGAGTCTCTGCTACACTTTGTCACCCCAGGTCTGCTTGACTCTGCCATTCCATCTTGCTACTTCTGAGGTTTCTGCTACAGCTCATTTCACCATCTGGAGGGGCATTGAGACTGCCCCTGGAGGTTTGTAAAGGAAGCCCCTTTTCTATCTCTTCCACCAGCTCGTTCGCCATTATTGTGTGGAGGGTGGGCTCAGTTCGCACCACAGCGCCCCCTGCAGCTGTGGGGGAATCATCGCACCTGCCCTGCCCAGCCAGGAGCCACCAGCATCCCTGCCGGCTGTGACCATAATTACACCAAGGGGGAAAATGCCTGACAGCCAAGAGAAGGCTGTTACTGGGTTTCTGTTTTTGTTTGTTGTTGCTGCCATTATTGTTGTTTGTTTGCCTTGTTATACACATATATATAAGTAAAGAACTGTTATTCCTTTTCCAATATATTTGCCTGAAAGCCCCTTAATTTCAAAATTATAGTAATTTGGAGGGAAGGGGGTCATATTTTCCATTTCCAAGGGAGGTTCCTGCCTTCCTTGGCAGATACCTGTCTTTCAAACTAAGGCAGTTGGTATATGTTTTTTTCCCTTTCTCTACCCCTGGGATGCAGCTGCTTATGGAGATGAGATACAGAGCATTACAGACACATCACCTGCCTCCTGCTTTATTCCTACATCGCATGACTTGTGGTGGTTGGTATTTGATTCATTTATTGGGAAGAGTTCTGCAGCCTGACTGCAGGAGCAGGTGGAGTAGAGCTCCAGTGCAACTTTTAACATGGGATGGCAATCACTCACTCACACCTGGCACTCATTCTGATCTCTGGTCCTTCCTCTGAGACCCACACACACAGCTTGGCTGGTGGCTTAAATGAAGCAATTTCCATTAACATGAACACCCACAGAACTGTTGTGCCCCACCAGCTTAAGGCAGACTGGTATCTGCACACCTCCAGGCGCCCAGAGACATTTCTACACTGGAAACTGACCTTGGCTTTGGGTTTGATACTAGTTGTACCCAAGTATCTGACATGGGACTCCCAGGAGGGACCCTCTGGAATCACAGCTCTGCTCCAGCAAGCTCCCCTAGCCCTGACACGGTTCAAGACTGCAGATAGCAGCTCCGACAGCTGACCAGAAACAGGATAAAAGCTTTCCACTGAATGAAATAAAGAAGCCAAAGACTTGAATCTTTACCTTTTTTAATCAAAAACATACTCTGTAACAGAATTTCAGGAAAGTTAACTACAGTTTATTATCCACAAACTAGGTCAAATGAAAAACATACAGTAAGCTACAAAGGAACTACTGGGAATTCTGTTGACCGCTTATCAAAAGGCAATGGCTGAAAGAAGAAATGCTTAACTAGGCTTTCATGCTCAAAAAAACCCCTCTCACAGCAGATTTTGGATTGTGGGTACTTCGCAGCTGTCAATCTAGCTGAATCACTTTATCCTGTTACCAAACTTCACCAGAAAGACACAGAAAAAGGTACAGGAGCAAGAAAGTGCTATGTGGTTTTGGTGAACTTATACAAGTCCTGCAAATTTAGGAGCGATGTATCACCCAAAAGGCACAAGAGCAGCCAACAGTGTCAAAACCTCTTGAGATATTGTTGACAGTAGTTCTGCTTTCACAAGGTCCCACCAAGTGAAACTTTCACATTGCTGAAAAGTCAAGTCAGTTCTTGGGGACGTCAGCAGTATCATGTGCAGTAGCTTTGAGTCAGCATGGTCACATGCCTTAGATAATTTTCAGAAACACACAATCAAGAAGAGTGTTTTGAAAGTGAATGACACAATAGAAGGAGATGTTCAGTATTCAGCCCCTAGGGCTGGTGGAGAAGCACTTTCCATTTTTGTTTCCCTGTCCAGGACCAAAGTGCATTAGAGGTTAGAAGCATGAGCACAAAGCTGGTTCCCACACATGCCTATGACAGGCAACTTGCAAATCTCAGTCCCAAGAACAATGCCATGGTCCTCAAAAACCTGATACCAGTCATAGAAATACTCCTGTTATCAGCAGGACCAGGCAAGACCATAGCTTTTAAAGACTTTCAAAAACCAAAAGAAGGTAACCTCTCCAAAACTGCATCCTTAAAAATACCTGACAACTAAGCATTATAGAATTTTATAGAGCAGATGTTAATTAGCACAGGGCCTGAGAGGAGGGGGGGAGGAAAGAGGATTTCTTAAATGAAGTCTGAATCTCACTTAGATGAAGATCCACGTGGCTGTCTTTAACCGGTTGCATTAAAGTGACCAGCAAACCCAGTCACTCTGTGTAACAGAGTAAAAATGCAAATTGAGGAGACAGTCTTTTCTAAAGCATTTACTCTTCAAAGAAGAGATTAATGATGCCTCAATAAAGACCATTATCAAGACATAACATTTAAAGGGTTTACAGGCAGAAGCCCCTCCTATATACACTGGTATACGAATTTTGTAATGGTTCCTAGTAAAAGAACAGAGGCAGTTGTTCCTGAGCCACACAGAGACAATGCTGTCATCAGAAGTGTTACGAGAAGATGGTCTCAAAGGTAAGGCACAGGAGTTGGACACAGGTTCGATGAGTACTGCTGCTACAGACCTGTTTGGTGACTGGGGGAGACCATTGTCTTGTTTGCAGTGTAGGTTCCTCCCTAGAAAGCAGAAGGGTACTTCCCAGGTCTTCAGTAGGCCAGAGCTGTAAATGAAGTGGTTTATATCACAGCCAGTGGCTCCAGGTCTCTGAGCACATCATTCTCATCAAGCCCAGAAAAGTGATGAAAGGAACAACCACTTTCAACCACCACTGTTTAGCAGTTATGGCTCCTTCCAAGGGATTCCTGTAGAAATAAGTATTTTTAAACCATTCCAGAGAAAAGCTTTTCTCTCCTACATCTCTACCATGTTAACTTTAAATGCCCTCGCTTTTAAAACTAACAGTAACACAGATAAAGCAATCTAAACCTTCTGGTGTTAATCCCAGCTCACCAGTACATGAAGTGAAATTACATAGTATTCCAGCACAATGTGTTTTTTGAGGAGTACATAATCAAGGGTGAGAAACACAGAGGTAATTACTTCATTGAAAGAACTAAGCAGAGCAGACATGGGAACAGGATTACAAGCAGGAGATTGCTAGCTGAAAAAATACTTGTTGAATTTGAAACATTCAGAGCTGAAGGAGACACAATTTTGGCATCCTTGACATTCCTGCCTGCTGCATGTATAGGGGTCATCATGGCTATTGAGTAGCTGTCGCTCTTCTTCAACTCTCAGAAAAAGACAAATGCAAGACTCAAAGATTCAGTGTGCAGCCACTGAAGGGTTTCTAATCCATTATGCACTACCTTTTATGCCTTGTCATAAAAGTACAAAAAATTAAGTTAAACGCATATTAAGAAATAAGAATGAGATTCTCTCATTTTGACCTTTAATACTTACAACAGCATCTTATCAGAAACTGCCTGGTGGAGAAGATGAATGTCTTTTCAGTATTTGTACTGCCTCACACAATGCTCAGATTTCTCCTGACGTGGAGCCTGCAATTTCTTGTTTTTGATGAACTCATCTGACATTATTTTGTTGTTCTATTACAAACATTTTGAGCCATCTAAATACTACACTGCAGGTGCAGACTTTAGGAGACTTGCAAAACATCTGCAAAGAAAACTAATCTTAAAAGTTGAATTCTTTCAGACCATAGTACAGGCCAATACACCAACAGGTGGAAGCAATCTTTCACTATTTTATCAAAGTTTGGCACAATCAAAGCAGAAGCAACTGGTACAGAAAGTTGTCTGTGAAGCAGTCATATACAGATCAGTCATCCATCAAGAAAAACACCTTGCAAAGCCACAAAGTTAAATAGGGAGTAAGCTCATGGACTCCTAATCAAACGAACAGCCTGTTATAAACAATTCATCAGACAGAAGGTTACATACTTTCCAAACACTGAGGCACCTTGAACCCAGCAGTAAGTGCAGGGTATATAATCTGATAGGGAGGCTGGCAAGAAAAAGATGTAGTCAGGCTTTTAATTTCTTCCCCCAAATCAAGATTTCTGTTGTGGATGAAGCGTAACCAAGCTGCCGGTTAATAAGCTTCTCTGAGGATGTGGTCTGAATCCTCTACTGAGTGTTCCTCAAGACTGTGAAGCAGCTTGCTTTGCAGACAAAATAGATCACTTGGGAGAGAAAGAAAAATGAAAAAGATTTTAAACTAAAGGCCATGAGGAAAGCAAACACTATTTTCCCATACATCAAGAAGTTGCCACATAAGTCAAAAGAAAAAGTGATCTCATTAGAAGTTAGTCTGAAGAAGACAACACTGTTAGTGAAAATACAGAGAAAATTGATCCATTTCTGGCCATTACTCCCAGATCATCTGTCTTCTGTACTTCCACACCTAAGAGAAATAATGACTGCTGACTTCATAAAAATTCCAGCATATGGGAGAAGCAATAACTAAACACTTTGTCACAACTCTTGACAGATTCCTGAAACTATGCAAGAAACTTGTCCAAAAGCTTTTGAATATTCTCTTCCAAGACTTCTGCTTCTGTTAACCACTCCAGCTGTGCTGCCAGGTCAGCTCAGCACAGCAGGCAGACTGAACCTGCAGCACTTGAAGGACTTCAGTGTATGTCCTTCTAAGCCTGTTTAATTAAGCTCCAACTCCTTACACACATGCTAAAAAAGAAGGAATTCCTGCTCTCTCTCCATACCTCAAACAGTCAAAAAGATATATCCTCAGGATACACTTTTATTGAGAAGCAGTGGAAGTAAGAAAAATTGGACTTGTTCCTGGCAAATTTAAACCAACAAAAATTCCTACCACTATTGGCTGCTGCAGGTTTTGCAAAGGAAAGGAATCCATCACTCAAGATCAATGGTTTCAAGATGCAAAATTACATTATATAAGCAAACTAAATTTATAAAAATCAGGATTTTCATAATTTTATTTATACTATTCGCTAGAGAGAAAGCATACACATTGTATCTGTCATACAGACAATACACTTGCAGGTTTTTTTACTATAAATTCTCTATATAAAGTCATTGCCAATTGATACAGCCATCGATGGCATAGGGCTTAAAATAACCAAGAGCTATAAAAAACAAGTTTGCCATCTTGCCCTGAGTGGAAATGGTGAACAGATACAAAAACTGAATCCTAAATATTGATGCAATATTATACATGATTTAATGGTATATGCAAGTAAAAAGAGTCATGCAACTTCTTTAAATACCTGCCAAATTTTAGTTGAGTAAAATCATAGAAGTCAATAGCAATTATGAAAATATGTTCCTTCCATTAGGTGCTTGTTATGCAATTTCAGTGGCAACTTTGCAGACTAGGTATTTCATGTTATTTGAGTGTCAGCACTGAAAGTATCCATTTTCTTTAGTGTTTTAAAACTCACCTGTCTATATAAATAAAAATCTATGATATCTTCTTA